CCCTATCGTTATATACACGACTTTCGTGACAGGAAGCCATTTTTCACGATGTTCACGAAGAATACTTATACAGCTGACATTTTAATCGATCAGTAAATACTTAGCCGATGGCGGTTGAGAGATCTGGTTAAATCGACGAGAAAATAATTAAAAGAGAAAGATTAAGAACAGACGTGAAAATTTCATGATCACAATCAACATTTCATAATCGCAAGTCCTCTGCGTAATATAAAAATATAAAAAGGTCAACGTGCTTTGCAGAGTCTACTGTCATTAATTTTTCTCGTAATTATTTTTAAATACAACAGATGCATATGTATATATATATATGAAATATAAAATCATTATCGGAATACGCGTTATATTCGAGCTCGTCAAGCTCGTTATTTCTCAAAAAGAGAAAATATGCGAACGTAATAAAAAAACATATTGATAATTCGAATCTTTTCAATTTCAACTCCAAAACACTGTTTTATTTCCCGTATAATTCCGACCATATGTGTATTCAAAATATTTTTTTTCAATTATATATAATCGCATACTCTTTTACAAGAGTAGTGATTCGCGTTGTAGAAACGACTCGTTATAACGCGTGTCCCGGTTTGCGATCAATGCGAAAGCTCTGCTCGAGATGCACATAAATCGTTACCGGTACATGTAAACATATAAACAGACATAACTTGCCCGTGTGCACAAGCGAAAGTATATCTGCATGTACGATATATTCTCTCGCTACTTGAAATCGTCCGAGCAGATACTTTGTAAAAGTCATACATGGACGTTTTAGCACGATTTTATTTTGCCGAAAGAGAATAGGTAAAAACAGAAAAAGAGGAAGTAAATAGAGTATCTAAATGACTACTGTGTTTTTGATCTATTCATATAATTTTACTTGTACATCTTATATTTTTATAATCAATATATAATTCAGTATAAAATTTTAATTTAATTTAATTTAATTTAATAATTAAAAGAAACGTTGACATAAATAAATAAATCATGACTTATCGTATTTTATGAAACGTGTTTTATAATTTCAGTCAAGATTAACAGACATTTTGATTTCGCAACGTCTTAATTTCTGCGATTCTCTTTCGCTTTCGCTGCGATTATGTTCGTTCATTCGAGTCGGTTTTAAGGAAAGATTCGTACTCCCGGTTATCTATGCAATTCCAGGGTGGTCGCGATAAGTGCTCTCAGATTTACAGTTTAATGCACGATCGTCTTGCCCCGCGCTCGCGTTTGCTCCTCCACTCGCCTCTAATTACTTCGGGCCGAGGCTTTGGCCTTAATTGAAATACCGAGTCCTTGCTAACGTTCGTCCCCTTCCCCCCTCCCCCCCCCCGTTCGGCCGAGAGCTGTCGTGGTGCCAGGCGGTCGGTGTGAAGTATCGGCGCAAAATATTCAATCTTGTAACAGTCAGCGCGATTACCGCTCTCAAGGGTTTCATTCTTCAAACTGGCGCTCTTGCAAATCGCGATCACGCCAAAGTCAGAAAAGCAAAATCCCTCCGAGTACTTTGATAAATTCTCTTTCACTATTTTGCTGACTGTACTTTTGACATTCGAAGCATTATATCGTTATTCGTAAATTTTGTGTATCTATGTTAAGATAATAAAATAATAATTTTAAGTTACTTTATATAATTAACGATATTTTTCTTAAACAATTATTAAAAATTATAATTTTGTTTTCTTGCGTAAAAAATACGAATTATCAGCGATAACGCACAAATATATTGTCACATCTTAAATATTAATGTTAATATAAAAATCCGATTGATCCACGACCGTGAATTTTCGTCGATGACGTAATTTTCTGCCTTTTCTTACGTTCCTCTTTTCCGCAATCGTCACGAAAATATGAATTCGCGAAATCTTTGCTTGCCTGCCTGGTATAAAAGAATACCCCTGCCTCCTTCGACCCGCCCGTCTTCGCTGCCGTCTGCCTCTTCATCTTCTCGTCGCGCATAGCGGGGAAACGCGGATCCCGGACGGAGTTTCTCATAAAGTCGCGAGCTGGCGCGTAATCGCGGGTATATTAAAGCAACGAGGGAAGAGCAGCGTGGGGAAGATTTCGCGAAATAAGGAGAATTCCGTCGGTGAACACTTACATACCGTATAAATACGGTAAAGGCAGGCGTCAAACGAAAATTCGTGCGCATCCGCGAGCAAATGTCTCTCGAAAATGTGATACATGTGTCTGTAAAATTTTGGAGCAAGATTTCATAGCAGCGTTAAAGACAATCTCTATAAATTATCAGTAATTAATAATAATTTATTTATTTTATTCTGTAATAACCTGAAGCTTGTTCGTTATTTATCATTCTATGAAAAATTTATATATCCTCGTTAGTTTCATCTAATCTTTTATCGAATAATGAAAAATTTATATGCTTGTATTCATCATTTTTATTACCATAATATTATACCTGAGCGGCATAATATCTACGGCACTTCTGCACTTACGTGAATGTACGCGATATAAGCTCCGGCTGATTGTTCCGTGCAAGGTACAGAAATAGCGATCGATGGATGGGAAGATTGTAGGTTATTTCCCTGGCATAATGTCAGCAGTCGTGTCATGCGCTTATTTCTTTGTCCGACATCGTTTAGACATTTAGATAATGACGTAGGTGGTAGCGTCGGTGCGATATCGCGGCGTTCATGGAAACGATTAACCGTAATCACTGTCCATCACTCGGCATCGATTCCAAGAATTTCTGTCGTCGTAGATCCTTGGCGAAAGGAGAGCAGGAAATCTTGGACGAGATCGATATCGCCGATTCATTATATCGTCACTTCCACTCTTGCAAACTGAATCGCGAGAAATGTGTGAGAGGTTTCTTCGCGCGAGAATGTCGAGAACGATCGGAATCGACGTTTGTCTTCTTCAACGTTTCCGCGAGTGACGGAAGCACACGGTTATAGTCGATGAAAGATGACAATGAAACTATGAAAGTCTCCCTATCCTTCCAACAACTTCCCGACCGTAACAAAACCAAGGTCCGAGTCGTTCGCGCTGGCCGAAGAAACGTTTAAATCGAAAAACGATCGATGACGAGTGTTTAGATGGTGTCGAGACGGACGTATAAATCGACGAGAGAAAATTACATTTTTTTCTTCATGCCCTTAGCAACCTCGCGAGGATAGTAAACGCTTAATGTCCTTGTCCTCCGCGATAATTATTCGCCGCGTATCAGGCGGCGAAAGAATTTTAAAGGGGATAATAAAAACCTCTTGGAAAGAGGAACGTCGGCCGAGAAATAAGATGTAAGTCAGCCGGGAGAAATGGCACGTCGCTTTTTATTGTTGGCATTTGTCGGTGCGACGTAAAAAAAAAAAAAAAAAAAATTTCTCGAGACGATAAAAGAAATGTAAGATTTTTTTTTAAGAGCGCTTATACCAAAAAAACGATAATCGGGGAGTAAATTTCGTATCAAGCTTTGTTTAGCAAGATATTTATGGAGTAACGATGTCTTTCGTAATACTTTCAATTTCAACGTTAAATAACTCGGAAATTAATCCTCGACTCTCTTACGCGTAGAGGTATAACAGATATATAGTATAATACTGTAAATATTGCTTTGATGCTGTTATTTATACATGAGAAACAAGAATTACAGAATATTAAAATGCGAATCGAAATGACCCTATTTGCGAGTCATCCGAGTAGTAAAGCTTTGCGCCCGATCAGACGCAGTTTAATGTCAGAGAAAAGTAATTCCTTCTCCTCCCTCGCTTTCTCTCTTCCACTCCGCGTCATCTTAATATCGTCATATCCAAGTAAAGGAATTCTTCGAGCAGCTGTCGCGCCCGTACCGCGACATTATTCTCGGAACCTTCCCAAGTGAGGATATTAATCGCTGAGAAGTTATGCTCGACCGAATTTCTTCAGGATAGATAAATGAAGAGAGAGCACAGTATGTCTCCCTCTCTTGAGAATGTAATCATATAATATATTTCATCGAATGTACCCTGCATTTTTCATTTCATTTGTTTCTTCTATTGTTTAGATATATTTATTGTATTCAAGTAACAATCTTAAATTGTGCAACAAAACAAATGCAATGAATATTCCCTCCAGATATAGACGCAGGAATTCGCCATCGTTTAAACTTACGTAATTCTGCGTAGCCAGAAGTTTATAAAACCTCTCCCCGTCGTAATCAAGGAAATTTCTTTTTTTTTTTTTTTTGACCATCCTGGTACCACCCTCACAATGGAAACGAAGTAAGAAATTTATCTTCGCTCGGCAAACAACGGATGTTTGGACACGCTTCACAGCTTTGCGGAATGGACGGGAGAGAAAGAGAAAGTGAGAGGAAAGAAAAAAAAAGAAAGAAAAAACCAAATCGGCCTTGGCGCGTTTTCTGGGCCGATTCTTCCGTGTTCGCCGCAGACGAGTAGTAAACACTTTAACGCCGTTCCCGCGAACGTGTCCGGCAAACACACGTTCCAATAAGCACTTTTATCCCAGCTTTTAACGATGAATCGTATTCTCGGCGGCAGTGGGGCGCGAATAATCCGGGCCCTCTCGTACATGTACACGAACGATTAAAAGCGATACGTCACTTCGCGCGAACTCGCCCGCACGAATGCTTTAATGAGAGAGTACCTGGGTATGGACCTATATTGACATTCTCTCCAGTATATATATCGAGGAAAGATAGAATACCGCACACGGACCAGAGTAGAGGTTCTCGATGTTCATACAAATTTATTTACGATTTTACAAAAAAAAAAAGCTCACAATTATTATATTATTATATTAAACTACGAAATTATCCCTGATAGCAAATATATTTTCTTTTCTTGCTTTTCGAATAATATTGACGTTTGAACAGTATTTTCTTTTTAAATCGTAGAAAGAGAGAAAAAGGAAAGGATAAAGTTTACCCGAGATATTTTCCGCAATTTTTATTTCTGGTAACATTAAATTATTATCTTATATTACTCTATTTTCTCCCCTGTATATAGAGATAATATGGATAGACTTACCAATCTCGCGTCGCCTTCGCGACGAATTGCCTTTGGTTCTCCTTATCGATTGGCGTGGAATAATGATGACGATGATCATCAATGGGGACAACCGAATGGCAAACAAGGCGGGTCTCGTTTCGGTCGAGGATCGTGAGGTTGTAAGGCGACGCCATGAGACGGGACGCCATTCGATCCAAAGCCACCCACGATTTACCGGCGACCACCCAGGACGGAAACCCGCAATACTGCGGTGGCTTTTCTGTAACGTGAAAAGATGGCCCTGGTGAAAGTGGGATCTCTGTTTGTCGTCGAAGAGGTTTTTCTCTCCGCGAGACAAATTTGCGATATTTTCCTCGGTTAAAATACCGAATCGAAATTATTTGTGAATATTCGAGGTATTCTTGTCGATATATATATATATTTGTCCTCATTTCGTCAGCTACGTAGATTAAAATTTCAAAGCGCAAAAACAATTACAGTTTAACGGGACAGAGAGAGAGAGAATTGGTCGAGTGATGTAATTTAAGCAGAATTCTAGGAATTTTTCCTCTCTCTCCCTCTCTCTTTCATTGGTGTTCGCAATTATTGAAAATATTTTGGCATTTTCAAAGCGCCGAAACACGACAATACAAAATTGCAAAGTTGATTATCGCCGCAACGCCAACTGTTTAATTCCTGCAATTTTCATCATCTCCAACGTTGCAAATTCGGACGACTGTTAAATTCGAATGTAATTACGTGTCAAGAAATAGCCGCGGCTTTATTCTTATAGCTCTGTGTAACTCCTAACGCAGTTATTTCAAACTCGAAATGCATAATATAACTGTAAGCTCGTTCCCGGACTCTTTAAGTTCACGGGGCCCTCGAGCAGATAATCCAGCATAAGTAAACTTTGACCTCTCTTTCCTTCCACGTTGTAAACTTGACCATCCTGGTACCACCCTCAAAATGGAAACGAAGTAAGAAATTTATCTTCGCTCGGCAAACAACGGATGTTTGGACACGCTTCACAGCTTTGCGGAATGGACGAAAGAGAAAGAGAAAGAGAGAGGAAAGAAAAAAAAAAGAAAGAAAAAACCAAATCGGCCTTGGCGCGTTTTCTGGGCCGATTCTTCCGTGTTCGCCGCAGACGAGTAGTAAACACTTTAACGCCGTTCCCGCGAACGTGTCCGGCAAACACACGTTCCAATAAGCACTTTTATCCCAGCTTTTAACGATGAATCGTATTCTCGGCGGCAGTGGGGCGCGAATAATCCGGGCCCTCTCGTACATGTACACGAACGATTAAAAGCGATACGTCACTTCGCGCGAACTCGCCCGCACGAATGCTTTAATGAGAGAGTACCTGGGTATGGACCTATATTGACATTCTCTCCAGTATATATATCGAGGAAAGATAGAATACCGCACACGGACCAGAGTAGAGGTTCTCGATGTTCATACAAATTTATTTACGATTTTACAAAAAAAAAAAGCTCACAATTATTATATTATTATATTAAACTACGAAATTATCCCTGATATCAAATATATTTTCTTTTCTTGCTTTTCGAATAATATTGACGTTTGAACAGTATTTTCTTTTTAAATCGTAGAAAGAGAGAAAAAGGAAAGGATAAAGTTTACCCGAGATATTTTCCGCAATTTTTATTTCTGGTAACATTAAATTATTATCTTATATTACTCTATTTTCTCCCCTGTATATAGAGATAATATGGATAGACTTACCAATCTCGCGTCGCCTTCGCGACGAATTGCCTTTGGTTCTCCTTATCGATTGGCGTGGAATAATGATGACGATGATCATCAATGGGGACAACCGAATGGCAAACAAGGCGGGTCTCGTTTCGGTCGAGGATCGTGAGGTTGTAAGGCGACGCCATGAGACGGGACGCCATTCGATCCAAAGCCACCCACGATTTACCGGCGACCACCCAGGACGGAAACCCGCAATACTGCGGTGGCTTTTCTGTAACGTGAAAAGATGGCCCTGGTGAAAGTGGGATCTCTGTTTGTCGTCGAAGAGGTTTTTCTCTCCGCGAGACAAATTTGCGATATTTTCCTCGGTTAAAATACCGAATCGAAATTATTTGTGAACTGTGAATATTCGAGGTATTCTTGTCGATATATATATATATTTGTCCTCATTTCGTCAGCTACGTAGATTAAAATTTCAAAGCGCAAAAACAATTACAGTTTAACGGGACAGAGAGAGAGAGAATTGGTCGAGTGATGTAATTTAAGCAGAATTCTAGGAATTTTTCCTCTCTCTCCCTCTCTCTTTCATTGGTGTTCGCAATTATTGAAAATATTTTGGCATTTTCAAAGCGCCGAAACACGACAATACAAAATTGCAAAGTTGATTATCGCCGCAACGCCAACAGTTTAATTCCTGCAATTTTCATCATCTCCAACGTTGCAAATTCGGACGACTGTTAAATTCGAATGTAATTACGTGTCAAGAAATAGCCGCGGCTTTATTCTTATAGCTCTGTGTAACTCCTAACGCAGTTATTTCAAACTCGAAATGCATAATATAACTGTAAGCTCGTTCCCGGACTCTTTAAGTTCACGGGGCCCTCGAGCAGATAATCCAGCATAAGTAAACTTTGACCTCTCTTTCCTTCCACGTTGTAAACTTCGTTTCCCGGCATGCTAGCTGTTTCTTAGTACATTATCAGGTTCTTACACGTTCCCGTCAAAGAATTACGGAGAGAAAATAAAAATCGAACGGCATTCGACGATCTTTATCATCTCAAATTCTACGCTAATTACGATACGCTTTCAATGGCATTATATTCATAACTAGCGCAATAATTACATGCGAGTAATACATCATACGTAAATGTGATGTATATTAACCAACTCATTAGCTTCATTAACACACGCGCGCACACAAACGCACAAGTTATGCATTAAAACGCATAATACACTGCATTGTTGCGATAATAATCCGGTATTGTTCTCGACGTTATTGATTGAAATATTAAAAGTACATCGTGTTTACACGTAAGGTAAAAAAAAAATCGTCAAAATTATATCGATTACATTGAAAAATAAAATGAAAATTGTACAAATTAGAAACTTGCACATTGCTTCCTCATCATTTTATTTCGCTCACAAAGCTTAGCAAAGCCCCCTTAAAGCAAACGGGTTTTTCAATTTTGGCGTCCTCATAGAAGAAGATATCTCAAAATTTGCGAAAGTTACAGCGTGTACAGTTTCTCAAAAATTCAAAATTTTATAAAAAATAAATCCTTTCACCTCATCAAATTCAATACCAACCATCCTTTAATGATACTCCATTCATTTAAAAAAAATTTAACCCGATATCTCCAAATTTGCGAAAATTAGAGCGTGTACAAATATTTCTCAAAAAATTCAAAATTTTATAAAAAATGAACCCTTTCACCGATTCTCACCAAATTCAATACTAAGCATCCTTTAATGATACTCTACTTATTTTTAAAAATTTAGCCCGATATCAAAAACTGTACAATGTACATTCCGTACATAAATACGTACATACACACATATATACAAACATTTTTTAAAAATATGATTTTTTGATTTGGAACATTCTAAACACATTAGAAATATGGAAAAAAATTTTGTCACGAAAACAAAGCTTCCTCAACATATATTATATTACGGAAATCAGATAGAGTGTAGAAGACATTTGGTATATGTGTTGAATTGAAGCAAATAATTTGTTATAAACGCGCGTCGACTCTGTCGCCAGTGAACAGTTATCTTGATGTCAATGGTCGGCTGCTCACGGCTATCAATCACCGTGCACCGTGAATTAATGGACCGTTAAAAATGTACGAGCGACGAAGTATGCTGCGTGCACGTCGCATACACCGCATCCAGTCTGCGTGCAACTAAAAGCTAATCGATAATTCAATCGAGTGTGTGCGTGCCCCGTAACATTATAGTTTGCCGAAATTGCTACTTATCGTGTACGTCGTCGTCGATGATAAGAGAATAGCATAACGATGGCGATAAAGAAACGGCCGGGATTTTAATTGTTTCATTATGCGACTCGCTCGCGCTCCTCGTAATATAATTATTTTATGCGTAATTTTCTTGGGATGTATATATGTAGAGAAATCGCACTGATTTGATTCGATTAAAATTTCTTTCTAGAAAAAAAAAATTTCATATTTATAATATAATTATTCGTCATTGATAGCAAAATAATTTTTGCACTATTGTTTCTTGCAAATTTATACTTTTTACATTTTTGCACGAAATAGCAATAGCGAAGAAAATCATTTTAAAATGCTCGATTTAATCGTCGATTTTTCTTTGATAGACAAATTATTAAAAATATGCCAATAGTTTCAAATTGTGTAAAAAAAAGATCTTTTTTAATACCTTACTAGAATTTTGCATCGTCGGAGCACGTAGCATGCAACAAAATGCGTATTAAAACGAGTCACGCTTGCGGCGAAATAGAAGAGGAAATGTATGCTTTGTTCAAAGTAAATTACACCCATCCCCTTATATTTTTCCTTAGTCAGACCGTATGTAATGCCGTTACGTTACCTCGAAAAGATTGTAATTCCGCAGTATGTCAGCAGCGGTTATTTGAAAACTGCAACCTCAATCTCTAGCGGAAATAGCGAAAATAATATCTCGTAGAGAAAATGTTGCTACAGCAACGATCAAAATAATTGCCACTGTACATCGTTACATAAAAAAAAGGAAGAAAATACTTTGCGACTCTCTCTCTCACATCGTTTGGATTTAATATGATCCTTCATATCATATACAATTTTTTAATTATGTTTTATTATACAAAGAAATTATTTAAAACATAAAAATGAAAATATCTTATAAACAACGTTAACTCTGATAAAAAAATTTCTGGAAAATAATATAAAATTAAATAATATTGACGTAAGTCAGGAATTTATAATATAAGAACGTTTCAAAAAATTTAGTATTTATTTTACAATTGTATATATATATTTGCTATTTGTAGTTTTGTATATGCATTTACTGTGCAATGATAATCTCGGTTTTTCGCATAACGGTATTTCTTTTGCTACTATGCAAATTTGTTCTGGCTCCCTGCTTCTTATTCTATACAATATTTCTCGAGATGCTTAATGCATGGCAGATTTTTAAAGCAACGTAAGTACAAGTTGTAATTTAAAACTAACGTTCTCTAATAATTTCCTCTTAGCGGAACAGATTAAAACGTGTTTTGATAAATTATCACTGAATAATATTTTATTCAAAATTGCGGTCAGTATCATGTCACGTTTCCATACAATTTTTAAGAACCGATTATACAAATGTAGAAAAACAGTGCGAGAAAGAATAAAGACACACGTGAATATATTTATATATCGGCTAGATAGAATTTATTGCGCGTTGGCTGGAACGCGAGTAACGTTCTCTTCATCCATGGGCGAGCACTTTGGTGCGGGAAGCTCGGCGTAGTTCGAGATCCCGAGGTTAATCTGCCTCCTGGAAAGTTTAAATGGAAACGAGGAATCGGGGTAGGGGGTTAACGAAACATTCGCGATGCCGTGCCAAGGGCGTCGCTGAAAAATTTTTAAGCTACTTAACGCTCGAGTTGAATTCGCTCGAATAGCATAGTCGCGATATTTCGAAATCTATAAAGCATTGTAATTCCTCGATAACGCGGATTCATCGACACGCGATCAGGCATGTGCGATAAATGGCAATAACAATGATATTAATGCAATGAAATAATCCCGTAGAATTCGAGACTTATTTCAATTTAATTTTCGCATGAATTTCCGTTTCGAGCGAAAATCAAAAGCGGACAGACACTTGAAAAGCTATTCGATTACGGCTCCAAAATAAAAGGTCCTTTCTCAAAATGAACGTGACACGGTTATATCGATCCTTTCAGTGCGCACGTTTGACTGGTGATCAAACCGGCACGCCCGTCTGTTGCCCTCAATTTGGTTAACCATGAATCCTGCTACAAGATCATCCCAATCCGGCAAGGCTATGTGTAGCTATGTGATACCGTGGAATACCCTAAGTACCTCGCGTTGACCACCAGCCGGGGGGTTATGATAGTATGCCGGACAAGAATCCGATCTGGTGTCCGCAGGCACTCTCATAGTTTACGTGCTCTCGTTCTCAGGGAGCCGACCCCTCGACATGTACGGCAGCTTCGAGTTATACGCGCCAATCCGCCACCTCTCGCTATCGATTAACGAGGCCGTTCCCGCAGAATTTCGATCGTTAATTCGATTTTTCGTATCGCGTTAGACACCAAAACAACGAGCAAATATTACACGACATTCCGATATTTTAGCGGCAGACTGAAAAATTTTTCAATTTTTTCAATTATTCTACCTTGGAATTCTCCGAAGACCTAAATCCTCTTACGCGAATATAAAATATCAATATGTATACATCTCATTAAAATAATGTATGCTTTTATAATAAATCGCAAAATATATGTTTCGTTAAAAAAATGTACCAGCTTTTTAAAGAAGCTTTAAAGAAGAGAGGACTTACTTTGTGTCATCTTGAATGTCCTGGCAGCCTCGGTGACGCTAATCAATCCATTGCAAGCGGCGTCCGAGCTTTGCGCGAGATTCCACGTGTTGTTCGATGGATTTGTGTAAATAAAGCATCTGTAGCTCTCCTCGTCGCTTGTTTTACGATCGTTACGATCGCTGTTCAAACGCGCGACCATGTAATTCGTGCTGCCCTCCCTCCAATGAGCCAGGCACTCCAATTCTACATCTGGAAAAACAAACCGTTGCAACTGCAAATTGGCATGTATCCAATAATAACCATTATCTTTTTTTTTTTTTTTATTTCATCAAAATCAATATTTCTCGAGATGCTTAATGCATGGCAGATTTTTAAAGCAACGTAAGTACAAGTTGTAATTTAAAACTAACGTTCTCTAATAATTTCCTCTTAGCGGAACAGATTAAAACGTGTTTTGATAAATTATCACTGAATAATATTTTATTCAAAATTGCGGTCAGTATCATGTCACGTTTCCATACAATTTTTAAGAACCGATTATACAAATGTAGAAAAACAGTGCGAGAAAGAATAAAGACACACGTGAATATATTTATATATCGGCTAGATAGAATTTATTGCGCGTTGGCTGGAACGCGAGTAACGTTCTCTTCATCCATGGGCGAGCACTTTGGTGCGGGAAGCTCGGCGTAGTTCGAGATCCCGAGGTTAATCTGCCTCCTGGAAAGTTTAAATGGAAACGAGGAATCGGGGTAGGGGGTTAACGAAACATTCGCGATGCCGTGCCAAGGGCGTCGCTGAAAAATTTTTAAGCTACTTAACGCTCGAGTTGAATTCGCTCGAGTAGCATAGTCGCGATATTTCGAAATCTATAAAGCATTGTAATTCCTCGATAACGCGGATTCATCGACACGCGATCAGGCATGTGCGATAAATGGCAATAACAATGATATTAATGCAATGAAATAATCCCGTAGAATTCGAGACTTATTTCAATTTAATTTTCGCATGAATTTCCGTTTCGAGCGAAAATCAAAAGCGGACAGACACTTGAAAAGCTATTCGATTACGGCTCCAAAATAAAAGGTCCTTTCTCAAAATGAACGTGACACGGTTATATCGATCCTTTCAGTGCGCACGTTTGACTGGTGATCAAACCGGCACGCCCGTCTGTTGCCCTCAATTTGGTTAACCATGAATCCTGCTACAAGATCATCCCAATCCGGCAAGGCTATGTGTAGCTATGTGATACCGTGGAATACCCTAAGTACCTCGCGTTGACCACCAGCCGGGGGGTTATGATAGTATGCCGGACAAGAATCCGATCTGGTGTCCGCAGGCACTCTCATAGTTTACGTGCTCTCGTTCTCAGGGAGCCGACCCCTCGACATGTACGGCAGCTTCGAGTTATACGCGCCAATCCGCCACCTCTCGCTATCGATTAACGAGGCCGTTCCCGCAGAATTTCAATCGTTAATTCGATTTTTCGTATCGCGTTAGACACCAAAACAACGAGCAAATATTACACGACATTCCGATATTTTAGCGGCAGACTGAAAAATTTTTCAATTTTTTCAATTATTCTACCTTGGAATTCTCCGAAGACCTAAATCCTCTTACGCGAATATAAAATATCAATATGTATACATCTCATTAAAATAATGTATGCTTTTATAATAAATCGCAAAATATATGTTTCGTTAAAAAAATGTACCAGCTTTTTAAAGAAGCTTTAAAGAAGAGAGGACTTACTTTGTGTCATCTTGAATGTCCTGGCAGCCTCGGTGACGCTAATCAATCCATTGCAAGCGGCGTCCGAGCTTTGCGCGAGATTCCACGTGTTGTTCGATGGATTTGTGTAAATAAAGCATCTGTAGCTCTCCTCGTCGCTTGTTTTACGATCGTTACGATCGCTGTTCAAACGCGCGACCATGTAATTCGTGCTGCCCTCCCTCCAATGAGCCAGGCACTCCAATTCTACATCTGGAAAAACAAACCGTTGCAACTGCAAATTGGCATGTATCCAATAATAACCATTATCTTTTTTTTTTTTTTTTATTTCATCAAAATACACACGGCCGCTGTTGAGACATATGCATGTAATATACATTTACAAAATGGGAAAGCGTAAATTGTAATATGTTAAAGTACCAGCTGACGTTTACATATAGCGATGAGAGAGTATATCGTCGAGGCGAATGAAATTTCGGCCGTGATTCTGTCTATACGAGCCTATTAGTAATCGAATCGTAAATAGAGGTTTACTACCATTTTGTCCCCGGATAAAGCTATCTGCAGAAGTTATAAACGAGGGTAAGCGATATATGAACATTCATGAAAACGCATTATGCCGAGCGTCGGCGTGTATGTACGACGCGCGGGATCCGCGAGTGCGTGAACGCGCCCCTGTATTCATTTATTCGCGCCCGTGTATTCATTTATTCGCACCCGCGTATCGAGATGGACGATCAGGGCGCGGGCCGATGATAATTGCGCAAAATCGTTTGGACAAGCCCAGCAACAAATGGTAATTGACAAGGCCATTAATCATTCATTCCGCAGCCGCGAGCTTTATTGACCGTTACAGGCCTTGCGCGTCGTGTTAATTAATGTCAAGCCGGATGTTAACGTCACCGCGGAAGCGCCGCGACGTCATAATTCCTTTTTACGCACCGAAACACGCGCCGCATCGCGCGCGTTTTAACGACAATGATGACGCCGACACGCTTATGAGGGGACACTTATATCGCGGGCGATTCGATCATACGCTGATTTTCGCGTTCCCGATAACCGGAATTACTCGCCGATATTTTTCAATCGGGCTTATCTTTCCGGGAAAATTTTTATTGCATTATTTCTTTCGACAAATTCATTTTGCAATAGAGAAAAAGTCGATATACAAAATTAATATCGATTTAAATATTCAAATCTCGTCAAACGCGGAAATGGAAGGAAATTTAACAACAATAAAGTTACGAATTGAAACTTTACATCCATGGCATACACACTCCGCAATTTGCATCGATATGTCGAGATACTCATCGGCGAGCGCTTTATAATCGTAGATTGCAACGAATTAATTATGGGCCAATAACAAAATGTTACTAGGCACTGATTGGACTGCCATGTTGCATAATTCATAATTGTTTGGGTATTCATTTGATAAATTGCGAGCGTATGTAAACAGATGTAAGCACAATTGCCGCGTAAATGGATATTATACAATGCATGTTGGTGTAACAATATCATTTTACGCAGTGTTTATTGTACGGCACCTATCTATTGTATGATATTTATTGTATGTTGTATTAAAAAAAAACCTAGTAAAAAAAAAAGAAAAATGTACTTTAAAAAGAATTGTACAAATTAATTACAATAATAATCAAATTTTATAATAGTCAGATTATTTATATTATGCTGAAAAAATATAAGAGAGAAAACATCTGTTTGCTCGCTTCCTACATTCATGACTTTTCTTTTTAAACTGTATATATAGAGAAATATATATTTATATATTTATATTTAAGCCATAAATTTGGATATTTTTATTAAAAAAGATGGTGAGAGAAGAGCGTTTTCGAAAGCTCAGATGATCCGCGTTCGAGCGGACACTATCGCTGATATCTGACTCGTGTAAAATGAGTTTGTCACATGTCAGCACGGTAATAATGACACGGGGGTAGAATACTGACCCACGCTTTCAGACGAATGAACGTTGGCGCACGCTTGATAGCGCAGAAGCAGACGCGAGTCCTGCGTGCACGCTTCCGCCCGTGACCGCGGCGAGTTGCACTCGCCCTCACCCTGGCTGTATGTGAATTCCAAGGGACCCTTAATGGGACAGGGCAGCGGCGCTGCATTGGAGCGAAACAGAGAGACCAGAGTGGCATCGCTGGTCAACATGCTGCATTGGGTCAGCAGACTCGGTTCCGGTGAATCGCTCGTGCAATAAGCTAATAAAAGCAGCGAAATGTAATGTTGCGATACTCATCCACATATTCCTTATAAATATGATATAATGAAGATGATAAGAATATTTATTAAAGTTATAATGTAAATGTAAGAGAGTAAGATTATCGAGATGAAACAGAGACAAACGATGGTGAAAAGAAAAAAGTAAAAAGAAATAAGAATGAGAGATAAAAATTCTCTTACACTGTTCTAAAAATTAAATTTTTCTTAAAAGCAATTAGAAATATAACTGACAATGAGCAAGAAGAGACAAGATAAGTAAAGAAAAGTGAAGATGAGATAAAATAATGTACGATGATATTTTACAGAACGCGCAAAAAATGATAAAGACATTTAATGAATACATTTTTACGAAACTCCAGATTGAGAGAAGCTACATATACTTTAAATATATAAACACACAGATTTCAAGATGTAACTATATCTTACTTTCTTTGTATTGCAGCACGTTGGCATGTTGTGCATGCATCACAATACACCGATAACACCTGTACTTCCTGAAACAAAACAAAAAAAAAATTGTGAATATTATATGTTACTCTCAACGTACATAATTTGTGTTGTTTAAAAATTTATAGATTGTTACATAAACCCATAATTCTTCTTTTTATTTTACTTTTGCACAAATCTTTTATCGTTCACTCAAAATGTTTCGTTCTCGATATGTCATAAACTTTATCTATTCACGTCATTCATATGTCAAAAAAGAAGGAATAATGAAATCTGCGATATATCGCTACATGACTTTGCCATCCTCTTATATTAAATAAATCTGTCTGTCGGCAACGTCTTCTGGGAGAACTTTTACTTTCCGATATGATAACATACGAAATATATGAATAAACTATAAAAAAAATATATTTTTTAAAATAATTTTCACACACACACACACACACACACACACACATATATATATATATATATAGTTTAACCGAAAGAAAATTATCATCCTGATAAAAATCACCGCAAATCGTCGATCAGCTATCAAATAACGTTTATATTTTACGACTCCGTTTAATATTAATAAAATCCTTGTCATAGAATTATAAAAAAGAAACCATATTTTATTAAACGTAATTACTTTGAAAATTTGTTTCGAACACGGATTGCAAACACACAAGGATTGTTCGCCTGCTGTAGTTCCTCACCGCGGACTCCATTTACGTTGATTTTCACTCTGAAAAAAGCTATAAACCATCTCGGGGGTTGTCTATTTGAATATCGCATAAATTTACAAACCAAATACCGAAGTAATTTCTGTCGCGCGGCGACGACACCCGCGGATTTCGCCATCGCGACGATTTTGCCGATTATCGTCCTTTTCCAAATGCAGCCGCTAAAGCGGATTAATATCGTTACAACTGGAGCTTTCGCGGTGTACATAGCAGCAGATGCAACCGACGGTGGAGCGGCGATAGTAGCCGGAAACTATATCGGACTGACAGTCGGGAACAAAGGTAAACTTCGACTTAAGCCACCGAGTGGGGAAGGAAAGGGACGGAAAGAGGAATGGAAAGAGGGGTGAGGCGGGAAACAGCGGAGAAGCTGCGGGAGAAGGTAAGTTGCAGACCTGAGCTAAGTAAGCAAGGTGCCAACTAGTAAGGACACAAGACAAGCTCCGAAAGTTTTAAGTAGCTACGCGATACTACTCGTTGGACTCCTCTCTATCTCTTACTCCCTTCCTTCCCTCCTTCCTCTCTCTCTCTCTTTCTTTTATCTATCCTACTGACGTCATCATTGCACCATGTTTGTCTTTTCGCTCATCTACAGATGCACGTAACGCATCTGCCAGCATCACGTCTCGCCTCCAGTGTCATCAATCTTCGGTGAAGATCTAGTTTGTTTCATGACACATCGATTCATCAATAGAGAAAAATCGATTTCCAACTAAAATTTCAATCTGCCGGATTGCGGATAACTAATATGTTGTCGACGCAATCTCCATCGTAGCGAAAATGCGTAAATACTTAATCGCGCCAGCTCGCGTGGATCCGAAAGTTGCAAAGTGTGCTAGCATGTCGACGCGAGCACGCGTTTTCCAAAATGATTTGGATCGAATATTGACTCCCTCGCGATCATATTCCACAGTATATAGTTTATGGTAGATATATGACAAAAATCTGAAAACGTAGCCGATTAAAGACAAAACATTTTTGTCCGCAAAACGCTTTTGTCGATAAAGATCTTCTTGCCCGAATCGTTACTTTATAAATTCTCAAGAATTTATTCTTTTTGACGACTTTCGCGAATTTTTCTTGAGCAATGATTGACTTTCGTGTTTCCCGTAATTATAAATTTCTTTTCCCGCTTTAAAAGCGCGTATAATACATCGTCGCTGCTTTCTTTCCAAATATTCAAACGCGCTCAAAAGTTGTTCCATTTAAGTTTCTCTCTTTGATGAGTTATTTTTACAGCTGCGATCTCTTATCTTCATTTTTGATATACGTAGCTATGAAGATTTGTTCTATTTTTAAGCCTTCGTAATTTTCGATGCTTAAAATTATATTCTTAATTTCACAATTTTAATTTAATACTCAAGATATACGTTAAATATTAAATATTAAAAATTTCTCACCAGTAACGGACTCCCTTCAAAACATCGCGTACAAGACATGTGTTAATGACGAGAGATTTGTGTATCGTATGCTCGTCATAAGCCATCTTGATTTATCCGCTCGATCAGTCATGACGCATATTTACTTAACCGAATGGTTTTATGTTAAGTCAAGTATTTGCATTTTAACGAGAGAGCCGCTGTTAAAGTCACCCTTCGTCGATCCTCAACAATTCTGATGCTTCATCGCTCGATGAACTTTGCACTAATAACGTGAGACGAGACGAGACGAGACGAAACGAGACGAGACGGTGATCGTTTCTCATTCTTCCCGTCATTCCTGCGTCGCCTCACAAAGTCTATGTCTCTGAAGACATGTCTGTATAAATTCATCATGGTCTTTTCATTGCGTATGAGTTATTAATGACCACAAATTATTAACGCGAGAACTATTTAAACAGCGGAATCCAAATGTGTTATCGATCAAATGCATATGCAATCGCGCGGATCGCATGATTCGCAAATAAGAGAATTTCGGTCAAAGCTTAATAATTCGTCCAATTCCACTATTATCTTGCGTCGCGTATTGTGATAAAATATATTCTGATATACATATTAATTTTTAAACGCGGGTAATTTTTTTTTTTTTATATTTTAACGTTCCCACATCTCTCCGTAATCCGCTTGTCGAATCGTGTTTCATTTATATTTTATTTAATCCATTCGTTACACCTTGCATCTGGTGACGAATATTTCATTGAGAATGCAAATTCGTAATCTTCTGTTTTCATACGTTGACATGTTGTATAAATATCGATACAGTATAACACACGTTCTGTTTGGTTTCGCTTACATCGGATTATTGCGAACCGCTGATATTACAGGATAATAACTATAATCTTTTTTACCTCGTTATTTCGCGAAGATAAAAATTCGGCGAAGATAAAGTTACGGAAATGCGTAAAATTTCTCCAATGAAAACGAAAGAGAGATATCGGATAAGAGAATGACAAATGCGATTCGAAAAAAAAACAACAACAAAAAGAAAACGAAGAAGGAGAAACGGAGTATCTTATAATGCATCGTAATTACACACAAAAAAAAGAACGCAATAAAGACATAGCGAGGCGTTTCATCAAAGGGACGGTATCGAGATCCAAATTGCCGATCACAGGGCAATGATACTGTTTGCATTGTCTAATAGCTGGATAGCGTGCGCGAAGGGCGCGAGCTACCCCACACAGTTTTACCCTTTCGCGCCCTCCCTCTCTCTCTCTCTCTCTCTCTCTGACACCACCGTCTCTCGCTCGCCTAAACCCCGTTTCCCAGGACATGGTTTATTGATTTCTCTAGTGCGTAAATACATGGCACATACGGTACACTCTCCGCTAACGACGCCCATGAGAGAGCGTCGCGACGCGGGCGGATCGTGCGGTCGAAAGTGACGTTTTCATAAATTATCGTTCGGTCGCGAGGTCCTCTCTCCTCCCCCTCCCTCTACCCCTTCCTCACTCCCTCCTCTTCTTCACCCGGCGAGTGTGCGGCCAACTTTTTGACCGCGCTGTTACGATCATTATACGCAAATTGTCCGCAGAAGCGGAAAACCAAACCGCAAACGAACCCTGGGACCACGGGCGAGAATTTGTTTGCGAACGGACGAAAATCAATGCGCAATTTTGAAAATTAGGTGTTCAACGTCGAGCGAAATTAAAGGCCTTCAAATTCGCCTCGATTCGCGTCGATCTCCTCTATTTGTAATTACGAATTATGTAAATATAAATCGAGATTATAAATTCAATATAAATTATATTTCGTACTTTTACATTCTTTTCTTTTTATTGGCGATCATGCACTGAGAGAAAAACTAATTACTATATCTTTGTATTTCTTTAGTTGAAATATTTAAGTCAAACATACGTCATGTTAGATTTAATATGTCGTATTTGACTTAAATATTTATATATTTCAATTTAAAAAATACAAAGAAGTAGTAATTAGTTGGACGAATTTAGTCAAATTAACGAGTTTTTTTTCTCAGTGTAACGATGCGATCTCCTTTTTAGCTCTTGCGAATATACGACTCGCGAAACTAGAAATGGTTTCGCACTATTTTATGAAATTATGTTTATCTCGTATGCGCGTGTTCGATACTTAAAACGAGGTAAAAGTTAGTAACACGAGGACAATAGGAATGTAGAGTAGAACGACTGGACTTGTATACATAGTACATAAACACTAAGGAGATTCTTCCTAAAACACGCTATACACAACGGCGAAAATGAACCGCGCGCGAGAAACAAAAGCAATCTGTTCATACATTATCGTCTCGCGGTATCTGCAATGAGATCTTTTAAATGGGTTACACCGGCCTTAACTGTGGGGTACCGTGTAATTTTCACGCAATACGTTATCTAGCGATTATACAATACCTCTCATCCCCCCTTGCGCTAGTAATTCTCATCGTCGCGTACGCCTCCGCGATGACTACGGTTCGATGAACGTGATTAAATCTGCTTATTGTAAACATAATTTCATCACATTTACTTACATTATGTATTATATAATTAAACTATCCCTTCCTCTCTACAAATTCAATTTTCGAGACATAATTAAAGAGTTAAATTAAATTTAAATTACGATCGTATCATGCTTATTTTTTTTTTAAATGCTTGATTTGTTAGAGATTAATATTTTCTTTAAAGTCTAAAAATACACAAGGGAATCGTCGCTCGCGCAATTTAACATTGGCAGGTATTAGTGTGTTGAAGGTAACGCGAGCGATTCCGCGCTTCAACAAATCTTTCGCGAATAGTCGTATTTCTGTCAGATCCAACGAGCACGTTCACACGCGAAAACAACATTGTTTTCAACAATCACCCGCGCGCTGGTGTACGCAAATTTATTGTGGAAGGCGGATTACGAACATCGACGAGGTGACCTGGT